CGGCTTTCAACGGAAGTTTCCATAATTCATCGACATTTCCGTGCAGAATCGAATGAGCTGTTACCTTCAGCTACAACTCCGCTTGACCCTCGTTTCTCATCTTTGATGGAAGGTTTTCTCGGAGGAGATTCGAGAGTTATGTTCAGGAAGCTACTAGATTCGAGTTATATCTACCTTTTTCCGCATACTTGGATGCCTTCAGAACGTTGTTCTGCATCTAAAACTGCATCGAATAACAGCCAACGTCACCGATTACGGATATGACATATTCAGCGTTTACTACTTTCGTCGACGGGAAGCCGTTATAATTTTTTGGATGAAAGATGGCAAACTGCCTGTATACTGGGGAACAAGCAGATATGTGGGTTTACTGGTATCTAGCCGGATGCTCACTTTCGGTCTCATGTACCAGAGATACTTGATTTTCGTCCACTGCGGGATCTTTATCTCAAGACGGTACGACCCGTCCACTTAGATACTTTTAACTCTTCAGCTTACGGAGTTGGCTGCATCCGGGTGCCGATCACATTACCCCGAAAGGTTTATCCTGGTTGAACCCCATTTTTATCATTTCCCTTTTAAACTGTCTTGCACTTTCCTCCTACTCACTCCACATGAATGTTGCCCGAATTACACAAGATTTCCAATCCCTCATACGTCGAGCAGTTGCGACTCGTCTCCATGACCTCCGTCTTCCCCCACCTTCACCGCGTTTTCTTCGATAGATGGGTTCCATCTTTTCCTTGAACCATCCTCAGTTTAGCTTTATTCGCAGAGATGGCCGTTTTGAAACCCCACTATTCTTCACCCCGTGCTTCGCTCTCATGTGAATATTCTCACCTTTGTCCTTCGCTTCACTTTATATCTATTAAGTTTTTGACTTTACTATTTCTGTTATCTTTTTTTCATATTGCGCCCCCACTGTTTCCACTTACAACTGGATCAGCATTGATCCACAGAAGGGGGCGTCGAGCAAAGGGGCCCGCTTTCCCCATTGCTCTTCCTCATGACTTTAGACGAAGCCTCCTGTACAACTACATCATCTCTGTGGTTTTGTCCCTCGTGGCTTATGACGATATAATAATCTTTCCACAGGATCCGGTGATCTGAATGCATCGTCTCAAAGCGCTTAATGAAGAATTTCTCATTCGGTAATCAGTTAGTCAAAAGAAATCAACTGTTCTCATCAACATAGACTACAACAAATATTAATGTCATGGAATCATTTCCACTCTCGTCTTTCGATCACCATAGCATCACTTCAACCAGACGAGTCGTTCAGTTATCCTCGCTTTCTGTTAAATTGAAAATGCAAATTACCGCGTGTATCCCTAGAACAAATGTGTTCTCAGCTACAAGAGACCAACTAAGCTCCCATAAAACCATATCAGCGATCAAAACTACAACTTACTACCCCGTCACACGCTCAGCTACTCTGGTGGTAGTACATCGCTTCCATGTACATAAATGTCTGAGACTGCCTTTGGCCTATTTGCACCCCGTCATCGAAGAATTTGTCTTCGAGGTACCATATTTGTCCGTGGTGATTTCCCTACTCTGGAAATTTCACTTGGAGCGTCGTATGCGAACTCACATCCTTTAACCAGTTTGTAGATCCGCGATCCCTCCGCTGCCTTAATCCATCGCATTGCCACGGCTCTCTTCTTTATGTGCGTACAGCCGGTCATCGACAATGCTCCTACACAAGAGCCTTGGAGAGAGGCGTTCTATTCCGTCCATGATTCCTCGCTCCGGAACATCACAATTGCATCCTCATCTCACTATTGCCTCAGGCAACCAGCGAAGATCTTCCCTCGGTTATTCGTACGACGGATTCAGCTACGCGTGAGGTTTCCTATAGCGAAGACGCGCGGAACTACGGACAGCCCACCTCCCTCAACATCTCTTCTTCATTACCGTTTAGTTTGTGGCCAGAAGGGAACGCTTTCACACATCCTTCAGTCATGTGTAGTCACACGTGATGCTCGCGAAGCAGCTTGTGATTGTTATTCGCCGCCAGGGTATCTAGATCATTCCACAACCCAGAGTACCCACTTTGAGCTCCTTTACCGAATTCGACCTGATCGCCGTCAAGGAGACTACCGTGTATGTTATGGATGTTGATCTATGTGACGCACGCCACACGGAACGAACCTACCAGCTGAACTTAGACAAATATGGGATCGAACTTCATGCAGATGCGATTTCTATATATGTGTGGTCATGCTTGCCGCAAGTGTCGTGTAGTATCCACAATCCCGTGATTTTAAACGGCCGTGGGTTTATTTGTCCCGCTACTCTGAGACATCTAAAGTGCCTGTGGCTTTCACGGTTTGACAATTCCGGTTTGTCTCCACTATTCGCGAAACATCTACAGCTCACACAAAAACGCTGAATACTTTGGCGTGCGGTTGTGTCCGATTTGCAGAATGCTTCATTCCGGACTTTTGTCTCCGTATTCTGCCGAGATATTATCCTGCCTTGGCAATTTGTCGTAAGTCCCGACCTTGGGCTATGCACACAAATTGTCAGCAATAAATGTTATTAATTCACGTGTCACCAAAGCTAGAGCTACCCTGAGTCTGCAAAATCTATGGAATCAGTAGAGGATTGCCCTCGTTTACAATACTAAACTTAGGGCCATCCTACTTTATGGGAGGGAGACTTGACCCTTTTGACCGGAGGATCTAAATATCATTGCTGATATCGGATGACGCTACCGTGACCACAAACCTAATGTGCTTGGGCGAGTACCAGACCGTGGTTAGTACTTTAGAATAATGGATAATGTTGAATGAGTTGCGTTAGTTTGAGCACGTTCTACATGTGCTTGTCCACCGCTTATCTTGGTGTATCTTCTGCGGGTATCGAATGACGCAAGACTATATATAGATGGGCAAAAGTTGACAGCGGGAAATAGAGTGGCTGACTACAACTCGATGCCGTTTTTCAATATCGCTTTCCTGGCTGGAGTTCACGTGACCCGCCTTGTACTTGGCAAAAGACGTCACAGGATATGGCTCGCAGCCGGCACCAGTGACGTATCTGCTGTCATCTCAGTCGGACTACCTGTTTAAACTGCGTTTGTTGCTGAGTTTTCTGCGGAGTAATGAATTATTTCGGCCCAGCTCAGTGAAAGCCGCTAGAAATCTGTCTCACCGTCACCGCCTTATCTATGCACGATAGCCAGCCTTTTGGTTCCGGTGTGTTGCTGATATGGTTTAGGTGCCGTGACCATGCATTTTTGTTTAGTGCATCAAGGTTTTCTGGTAGGTCCCTCTTATTTCTGTCTTATTACTCATCTTTCCGTGGGTCGTTGTAGTTGTAGGGCGGCGAAGCATTAGCTCAAATAGCTGATGAACTGCTGTTGATGATGATGATGGCGATGCATTCACCGAATCGATGTCACGTTTGATGTCGAGGAACACGACAACAGTGAGCCACTGTATATGACGGTGCTACAACATTTGACATAATGTGAAGATGTGATCGATGCAGCCCCAACCTCGACGAAAGCCGGCTTGCTCCTCACGAATCTGGCTTTCAAGAGTGTCAGTAAGTCTATGACGAACGACAGAGGCGAGTATCTTAGAGGCAACTGGGGTCAGACTGATCTCTCTAGCATTGTCACGATTCGTTCCGTTAGCATAACCTTAAATCTCAATAGTGAACAAACTGGATCGAAAGAAAAGAAAATTAAGACAGAATTTCATAAAACTGTTCGGGACGAAATACTACCATATAAATAGAATGCCACTGGCGGCGCTATGTTCTCTAGCCTCCAACTACTGATGTGAGCCATCCCGAGGCCCCATCCACGAAGATGACTAGTGCCAGCCTGACCAACTCTGTAAGTCAACTTCTTCATACCTTCACGCCACGTCATCGACTGGGTACCTCGTGGTTTCATTCCATATGGTTTAGCTGCGGAGTATGATGCACTTCGAGGGAGGCGGTCAACTAGAATATGGAGGATTTTATTAAATCAGCGTGTCTAACATCTTTTAGTTTTCCTGCCTTGGATCAGCGTCTATGAAAAGAACCTTGGTGCGCTTATTTCTTTGCCTTCGTACAGTGCAGTGCACCTTGAGGAAAATCGCGGTGGCCAACAGAATGTTCTTTACCATAATTTCATTTTCTCGAATGACTCAGATGTTCAAGACTTTCTTTACTTCGTGGGCACTTGATCCTTGAATATAGTTTACCATCAGCCTATTTCACGAACTCTGAATGTGTCTTGCTAGCGAAGCCTCAACAGCCGATATCGAGATCCATTTTGGCTCTCCGGGAACTGCTTTATTGCATGTCTTTGACGGGTAAACTTGTACTTTGTCTATCGTCGTGTCGACTTAATTTATACCAAACGCTTTCTACTAGGATAGTTGAGTAACGAGTTACATTTCTTTTAGCTCTGGACCGATAATTCGACACGAGACCACTGTTGAAAATTGAGGAGGCTCTGAATTCACCGCTATGCCGCTTTGTCCACTCTTGTGGGGAATGGCTAGGTCAGCTTGTCTGAGGCAGTCGTTAGTGAATAAACAGTGGACGTTTCGAACGATTGTTAGACACTTGTCTACTGAACAGGCAAATATAGTGCTGTGCCATCCGCAGCCATAGTGTTCCTTCGTGGAACGCTGTGTCGCTACGATTCACATCATTCCTGCAGTGAACGAGAAGCGATAGAGCTGACAAGGAATGTCTTTTCTGCTCTCTACAACCTGGTTACGTCTGTGGTTACCGCTTGTTCCCTAACCAGCTGGACGAAAAGGCATGTTGTTGCTAGACAATTTCCACAATTTGTGCCTATAACATGATGATTGATTGTTTCTTCTTAGTGATTACTATATTATCCATCTATTTACAGCTGTCAATACACGATATGACATTCGACAAGAAGGCAATTCATGTAACTAAAATTGTATATCTACCTATGGTGCAGGAGGTGCCTCTCTGAAAGATTATAAACCCTATCCTCTCGATGGTCCGTTCCCTGCTTGTGAGCACTGCGGCCCTTCACATGGTACCGCTTACACAAGGATTTTCTTAAAGTTATCAGATCCTCTCTTTTGCCTCTATCGTGTTTTGCGTCTCATACTATGCATTTGAGTGGAATCACTTTGCGGACCAGTTGCGCGATCGCATGATATTTGACGTCATGTCTCTTGCTGCTTGCCTGCTGATAATAGTGCCAGCTTCTGGCTCCGCTGCTGTTCTCTTACAACTGGTTTGTTACCTACTCTCTTACATCCCACCTAGAGCTTATCCCTACTGCGCATCGTTTTCTTCTTGGATGTTAGTGAATCAATCACTGCCCTTCTATTGAATGTGAAAAAAACTGAACTATTGGCGATTTTATCTTGGATTTCTAGCAGTGACTTGGATAAAGGCAGGTACATGACATCCTCTGGATGTTGCGGCATTTTCGAAGCCAACTATGGATATCACATAACGAATGATTCCCTGCTATGTACATCGTATCGGGTAATGCCGTGCACAGGGTGTTTAACGAGAGTAGAATGAATGTTGCCTTCGCAATGGAACAGCGGTTTGCTGTGAATTTTCACATCGCATTATCAGGTGCCGATGCTATGTTTCATGCTTGCCTACATTAAGCGCGTCGCTACTAAAAGTCTGTCATTTGGTTTCGGGGATCGGTCTACTTTCTTGTGCCATCAAAGTAAGTATTTCACTTTTATTGATGCTTGGTGGTAACAAAACTAAAGAACATCATATGTAAACTGCGTTTCATTTGCGATCAAATATATATTTTACCGTAACTCGCATTGTTTGACCGTATGATATTGAGTAGATGTATTGTGACCGTTGCCAGCATCCTAAATTGTGCCGTGTGATCGAGCCACACCTACGGGAACATTTCAGGACTAATACCTATCGTCTTACTGATGGCTACCTGTTTTCCGCTTATGTTGAATGTTCCTTTTATATTAGCAGTATTATTTTCCAACAGATTTTTCTTGTACTTACTCTGCGCATCACTGTTCTGGACCGAGTGACCAACTTGCTGTCAGTTGCCAGTGACGCATTTAGGCGATAGGTTGTCAGTCGACATGAGTTTCGCTCCCTTACTCCCCACTTCCTGATCTAGTGCGCACCCACCTAATACCCTCTGTTTCGTGTTCATCGATACACCCATCGTCGAGGTATTTTAATCCTTCTACGCATTCAGTTCGCAATTCAACAGCATCATTTCGAATTATCTCATTAAAACTCGCTGACGAACGAGGTGGATGGGCAGAATGCCAATTGCATTCCTCTCTAGTGCGCCATGAACAACACCTATGGAGTCCATTTATCTGTCAAACTTATTGCATCCAACTATGGATGGATTCTAGATGTGTCGATTAACTTACTGCACTGAAGTTGGTTCCATGATACCCCAAAACTATGTTTGGCTAAGGAATTCAGGTTTGGTGTGAGTATCAGTAGGTGGCGGACGCACTCGAGATGGGAGCCATTGCCGTTGGAAGAGACCCGGCACTGTTCCAGCTCCTTCGTGACACTGGTTTAAAATACCTCTCGGTTAATGGGACAACAGCTGAAAGAGGAGGACAGTTGACTCCTAGACACGTTGACTGTATCACCGGGCGTGGCGTTCTGATAGGCAGTACAGCAAGCCTGCTCGACCGGAAGCGAATTGTTTCAGTCCTATGGCTTGTACTTCACGAGTCACGCGTTTTGAATCTTCGCAACTGCGGACGACGACGCCGTATCCCAGTCTGCATTCCACTACTGGTGGTTGCGTGGCACCCTAGGATCGATAAGAGTGGTCAGCATACGTTTTACAGACTTAGTGGGCTGTTATCATTCGCTGAGTCACTGCTACGGCAGCCTAGTTGTAACTACTCACCTAGTCGAATCGAACGACATGCCTCCCGCGAATTCCACTCTGAAACAAAAGGGAACTGTCTTGTCGGAATTTGCTCCTCCGCACGCGACTCGAACGTACCCAATCCTAAGAGAAAGTGACAGACAGACAAAGAAGACAGACCTTCAACCGAGTGCCTTTACTACCCGATAAAAGGCAAATGTAAGCTACACAATCTTGGCTATGTAGTCTTGCCGGCGACACATGTAAACTTACACGTACAGCCTGCATAGTCGAAGGTGAAGAATCTGGGGCGTAGCGGAACATGTGAGTTCACTTAGACGCGAATGTCTGTCAAAGGGTCGTAAGCGGAGGAGCAGCTTACTTGGACAGGATTTTGCGATTCTGTGGAGATGTGCGTTCGCCATAACACTCCCCTTCACCTTTGAACATACTATTTTCGATGCGGGTTGCTGCGCGGAACTCTATGTTAACAGAGGAGCGGGAAACAGTTTGGTCATGAACATCTTGTACAGCAAGCGGTATCTCAGGAATGGGCGAGGACGTGAAATAAAATGAAAAGGGAATGAGAAATACATGATTGAAGGATGACTATCTGCCAGCTGGCATGCGGATTGCATTATGTATAAGCTATGTACGGGCGAGCAGAATGTATTTACTATACAACAGAATTGACTAGCGATGAGCAAGTTTACAGATCATATTGCATATATTTTGTTTACCTTTAGTAAAAGCATATAATTGCTAATCAACTGTTCTTCATCGCTCCATTGCACAGATTACGGATAGCATACCAAAACACGCCACCTATATTTCCCCTTTTCCCAGTGTCAGCACACTGGTCCGCTGAATCTATAGCGTTTCGATCCTTCGGCAGCCACGTTCTGTCTGGATGGGCGGGCGGACAAACTTCACTGTTAACTGAGCAGCTCCCACTGACACCTGGCATTGCCTCGTGATTCCGAAAGTATCCATTGCTAAAATTAGTGGTAACTGCGTAGACGACTGAGCCTTTTGGTGAATCATCCGCTTCGCGGTCTAAGTTAGTTCTGATGGCGGACCCATGTGTCATCTCCCACAGCAACATCCTGCAGTGTACCGCCACAATGAACCATATCTGCGGCTTCGGTCCGTTGTGAGACACCATCCCGATTGTCACAAGCGCTCTAATAACGAGACCGTTGCGTGCGGTGGAAGTATTAATTTGTACTACTGGCTTTTGTGATGAGGACCAGCGCTTCATGTGCGACGCTCAACTTCTAGCCAATCAATGCTTCAGTAGGAGATAGTCCTCTAGGAGACACTGGTTTCGGTGTAGTTTTGTAGGCGAACAGGAAAGTCACAATACTTGCTTCCGCTATCCTCTCGCGAGATCTTCTAACGGTGCTCTCTTGAAGATGTCGACAAACTTTTGCTTTTACCGTTGGACTAGCGATGTTAGGGCGGTAACCGGTGGTATTGGATTCAATGCCGGCGAAAGGAATCTTCATATATCGAGGATGTAAACTGAAAGTCATTTTTAGACACTAACACTTTGGAAAGTTCGTGCTAGCTGAATATTCGCCTTAGGCATGATAGCGTTGCAACTATGGTCTGGAAATTGATGATTACGACTTCAGACCGTGTATTCCTCTACATCGTGCTTAAGGATGTAGCAAGTAAGACCGTCAGCCTCACCGAGCTTTTCATTGCTGCAGAAGTGCATTTCCAAATCATAACCAAAAAAAGGATGACGACTCATCGTTGAAGTCGGTTGGCTGAGTATGCCTTGGTGCTTTTCTTGGAACCAAAGATTGACAGCAGTGGCTTGTGTTCGGTCAGTAAGCCGAAATGCCGATCATACAGCATCTTGTGGAACTTTTTAACGACAGAGACGATGATTAAAGCTTTTTACTCAATCTGGCCGTACTCTTTTGCAGACGTCGATCTGCGTGGAAGGTGAATGACGCCTTTATCAGTGTCATCTGTGAGACAGTGGAAGAGGACTGCTCCGATTCAATGGTCGAAACAATTAGTGGCGACCATAATTGGTAAGATCTGATCGTAATGCATAAGTAGTGGGTCGAAACTTACGAAAGCCATTTCCACTTTAAACTGAACGTTTTCCAAACCATATTAGACCTTTTTCAAACCGCCTTGGACATTTTCCAAATCACTCTGGACATTTTGCAAACCACTGGACATTTTCCAAAACCACTTTGGACGTTTTGCAAAACAAAATGGACACTTGGGCTCTTAATTAGAAAATCAGCGATTCGCTTACAAAAATGAGGAGGAAGGAGACTAGACGATGCCAAGACTACATTGTAGTCATGATAATGCAACCGAATTGTGTAACCAACGGGTGCCACTGCGAACTCTTCTCTTGATCGTGAACCTCGATCGAAAGTGGTGACTGAGTATCCCCTTATCTCTCCAGCTGTCTTCTCGTAGTCTATGTGCTTTTGACTTTACCCATGGACCAGTGTAGCTGTGACTACTGGAAAGTCAGCCTATCCAACCGTGTAGTCCATCATGACTTAAACAAATGTTGTCTAGCATTGGAGTGTTGTTGTGTGTCACTCGTTTTGCAAATGGATTACGATACGCCATCCAGGCTAGTCAACTTGCGGTCGGGACATTTTACTGTTTCTACGCTTTCGTCTCCTGTGTCCCCAATTTTTATCGCAATCCAGCTCGCATACGCTCATTCGATCAAGCTCGATGGGCTCCTCCAATCGTTCATATACCTTGAAGTTACGCACCACAGATTACGTCCACAAGGTCATCTTCAAACTTTGCGTTTTTTCTCTCTTAAAACACGCGGGTCAAACTCATTGGCCTTGCTTCCTACATCACGAATTCCGGTCATTTCTGGAAGTCCATTTTCAGGCCTATTTTATAAAACTCCGTATACTCCTATATGTGGTTGTATAAGGCAGCAACAACAACAGTACATCAGCCAATTAAATTGATGCTTCCCTGCCAAACAACCATGATGGCCTATGGAAAAAAGAATAATAACAGGAAGAGAAGAGGGACTTACCTGAAAACCTTCATGCCCTGAGCAAACATTCAGGGTCAATGCGCCTACACCTTGTGTAGACAACATACCGTCACAAACAGCTGGCTATCGTGCAAAGATAAGGCGGCATCGGCGAGACAGCTTCCTTGCGGCTTTCACTGCCACGCGTCATAATCAGCCATTACACCGCAGATAACTCAACACCAAACACACTTTAAACAGGCAATCCTATTAGAAGGCGGCAGCCGACGCACCACTAGTGTCGGTTGCGAGCCATGTCCTGTAAAGTCTTGAGCCAAGCACAGTGCGAGTCACGTGGACTCCAGTTCGGAAGGCTAGAAGGACCAACGTCACCCAGTTTGGTCGTCAGTGACTTCATTTCACGCTACCGAATCAACTTCTGTCCACCTCGAGCCTTGCGCCACCCTACACATGGCATACTGAACAAGGTCCTCCTCGTTAAGCGGTGACCAGGCATACGTAGCACGTGCCCAAGCCAACACAACTTATTCAGTGCTATCTGTTATTCTAGGGAGCTAGCATGATTATCACTACCTAGTACTCGCCTACGCACATCATCGATGCGAACACGCTGGTGCCATCCGGCAGAAGCAATGCTTCGCAAACAGCGATGATCAAAGACTTGAAGGCGCCTCAGATCTTCAGACCGAAGGGGCAGGTCTCACTACCATAGAGCAGAACGGCCCTCATTGTGGTCTTGTATACACGGCCTTTCAGACGGAGGGAAATTCTTTCTGTCACCAAAGATGCCGCAGGTTCAAGAAGGCAGTTCTGGCCTTTGCAATGCGTGAGCTGACGACAGTTTCTATGCGCCGTTCGTTGCTACCAAGGCAAGTGAATTGATCAACCATATCGAGTTCCTTGTTATCAAGTGTCAAGGGGTCATCAAGTGGCTGGTGGTCCTGCAGCAACACTTTGCACTTTGAAGGTACACAGCGCATACCAACTAATGAGACCACACTGGACAGGCTATTCAGGTTTGCTTGTGCCGCCGCAACATCGTCGAAAAGCAAGACGATATCGTCTGCATAATCAAGATCAACTAACCTTACAGCAGCCAGGACCTCAACGTCTACATCGTGAGATTCCCCAAGTGAACACTCCATGATAGAATCCACGACGAAATTGGACAAAAATGGGGAAATCGGACAACCCTGACGAACGCCACTTGTCGTCGGAAAGCTGTCCGACAGGTCACCGCAGACCCTGACGCGGCCTGTAGTGTTCGAGTATAGTGAATTAAGAATGTTCGTATATTTCGTGGGAACATCTTTCCGCGCAAGTATTACGAACACAGTGCATCGATCGACTGAATCGAACGTACTCTCGAAATCGAGGAACACAGCCATATATTAAGCCATCTGCTGTACCATTTTCTACCTATTTTCGTGAATTGTTCAATTAAATTCATTGAGGTTCTTCGCAGCCAGCTTCCAAATCAGATAGTCGCCCACCTGTCCTGAAAATCAGTAGACTGCAATTTCAGACTGTTAGGCATCATCATTAGTGCATATCCATCAGGATTCGAATCCATGACACCAGCGGCTTATTTCGCCAGTCAGCAGCTTATGCCACTGGGCCACGGGGACAGTTTCTGACCGTCATGATTTACAAGCTAACTGCAATATAGCGTGTCTTATCTTCCACTGCCATGCAAGTTACTAGCGTTGCAGAGGACAAGGTTGGCCCCGAAAGAGACGATGTCCCCTAACAGTAGCTATGTACGACATAGCATTTAGAAACTGTTAGGGCGGATATATTATGCTGTACTCGTTAGTAGGGGATTTTGATATAATTAACTGAGCATCATTGTGCATTAACTGTACATATTCTATACCAAGTCGCAAAAGCCAGGCTACTATCAGGCCAGATTACTGGAACGTCCTTTTTATCCGAAACGGCTTGAACTACTCAACTCAGTGAGGCCTACCCTGGAGTATTGTACCATTATTCACAGCCAATTAGGAAGAAAGGACAGGATAGCTATAGAAAACGTCCAACCATCCTTTATCAAGCTGGTCGTGGGTTACTGCTGAACTCTGAATTACCACGATCCATGTCATCACCTCCGACTGGACCTCTTTTGGCTGCATCTTGTGAGAAACCATCTCCCGTTTACAGCCTGCTCCTCCCTTGAATTGCGGAGAACCACTATCTATCCCACCAGTAATGGGACCATGTACTACCCTCGCAACCTGCCCGTTAGAAAATGAATCGACACGCGGACACCGGTCCAAACTAGTGGTACCGGGTTTAAAGCGCATCGCTCACTCTTTATGCTTCATGCATCGAGTGGTGAAATATTGAAACAGGTTTCCGGAGACGCTAGTCGAGGCGAAATCGGTGTCAGAATTTAAGTGATTTCTCGATGCCCACTTTGCGGACTACAGGTCTAGGGAGCGCATCACACCCGGATAAGACGTAATGCAGCTGCAGTATTCTGCCACCGCGCTGGAATCAGCGACGTGATTCCGCGCATGTGCCCGATCCACCTACGATGGTGCAACACAGATTTCTCTTCTTCTCGCTCTCTATTCTCAGTATTCAGTATTTCTTCTTAGGGAAATATGCCAATTTGTGGAGTACATTATCCCTTCAGGTACGCAGATGTCCAAACTTTGCCACATTCCGACTAGCCCCAGAAACTTTTCTCACCTTACCGAATGCGTTAAAGACCTTTATCTTACAGCGACCTCCGGATACATTAAGGAAAGTTGGTCTTAGCAACTACTGAGGCGCCAGAAACACGCATGCAGCGCATTCTTCCTGAAACTTGTGCTTCTGTCACACCTTTCCTCCCACTCCTCGAATGAGTGCCTTTGCGGTTTACTACGAAGTACTTTTGAAAAAGGTAGCATATACATATAAACAAACTGAAATTCAGAAGAACGCGTCCTTGGTTTGCGCAACAAGCAGTGCATCAGCTGCTTTTAGCACGCTTTGACTGAGAATATTTTTACATGCCTAATTATTGTTCCTTATTCTGTTAGGACACGGAACCTATACAACAGGTTCTGTGTACATATGATTGCTCCCATCCACGGATCGTATGGCGCTTGTCGGTAGATATGCAAAATTCTATTTTACAACTCACTTGGCTTTCGGCACACATCTCGGCTAGGATGCAAGTGGTACAAATAAGCAACTGTTTTTCACTCCCCAAAACAGTGATACAGGGGAGTGTGCTTGGTAGTTTGTTATTTCTTATTTACATACAACGTATCTTCAGCATCTTGAAGCATGGCACGGCATTGTTGTTTACAGATGAAATACAAGATACCTTTTCTCACAGAGATGGGGACACAACGGAAGGTTTCACAACATATTTCAGACAATCTTGCATCTCTTGAAACTTGGTGTCGTTTACATCAAATGCTGTTTACCGCACATTACACCTTGCATGGTATGAACATCTCTCAATGCGAATCCCTTCGTGACTTTGGCTCCGGTTGCACAAAGTATACGCACTATCAACCATTATATATTGCTCTCTGCTGAGCCCAGTCATGCCCAAGTCGGACGAAATGACTCTTGAGCGAATGCACTGCCGGTTTAACGAAATGATACTTGGTTACTCCACAACACTTACTTACAGTGAACGCTGTATTGTCCTTGGACCGCAATCTTTTTAGGCGCGAACAGTGACATCAAACTTGTGTTTTCAGCTCAGATTCATACGTCACAGGGCTCACACCGCATGGGTCAATTTGTCTCTGACGCAGGGCGGCAGATATTCCATACGTGATGTAATTTACCAAAGTATAATTCCATATACGAAAATAAAAATGAAGGAAGACTTCTTTATCACTACCTACTCCAAGCGTTCCAACCAGTTACCCCAAAACATGGGTTCAAATGTCTGTCAAGAAATATCTTACTGTGTGTCACATCATTTCCATGTTACGGATATCTCATCCTTAGGAAACAGTATAAGACAATGGCGTCGACATCGAATAGGGGCAATGTTGCCATTTCTTGCATTTTGTTACTGGCTGTAGAAGAGTTATCTCAAGTTGAACGTGAAGGAACAATTATATCGTCAATTGTTGTCTTTGGAAAATTGTAACCGCATTTCACGTGGGAATATGAGACAAGAACCAAGGTACAGTAACCATGATCGCTACGTGACGA